GTAAGGTGTTTGGCTTAGTAACATATGAGGTTCTGATTAAAAATAAATAATACCACACAAGGTCAAGGTCAAGAAAATTACACATTAAATGGACTAGGAACTGATACAGCCCAGAAGCAATTGTCAACTGGGAAATAACCTTCAGTGGGTAGGTTTAGGCCTGATGGTCACATTTTTATCAATGACTTAGAACTTACAATAAAATGACTGTTGATAAAATTTACATCTGACACAAATCTTGGAGGATTGCTAAATAACAATGAGGTCATGGCAGTCATAAATCGCACTCTGGATCACTAGGAAAACTGGACACATTCAAACAAAATGCCCACTCATTTAGACTGTAAGAATGGGGAATTCAGGCCATGTCTATGGAAATGTAGACTAGAGTCTTGGCTAACAGTGACCCTGAAGAGGATTTTGTTGGTTATAGTGGATAAGCAAACTCAACATAATGCCCAGGGCAATGTTATGGCCAAAAAACAAATGCGTTCTTGGGTGTGTACACAGCTAAGTACTGAATAGGAGCAGGGAGGCAATTTTGCCTTTCTGTATGTCACTGATGAGACTGACATTGGAATACAGATCTGATACCCATGTTTTTAAAGTAATAGTGAAAAATTGGAGTGAGGTCAGAAAAGAGCTCCCCAAATTATTCAAGAGCTAGAGAACATGCCCTATAATGGCAGACATAAAGAACTCAATCCAGTTAGTTTATCAAAAGAAAGGCTGAGCGCCAGCACAATTATAGTATACAGATAAATTCTTTCATGAAAATATCATGTACTAGAAGGCTCTTTAAACAGGAAGAGAAAAGCGTAACAAGAAACAGTATCTGGAAGCTGAATCCAAATGAGTTCATGTGAGAAATTAGGCACAAATATATCATGGTGAGGGTGACAAGAACCCCTATAGCAAGCTCCGGAGGAAAGTAGTGATTCTCAGTTATGTCACCAAATTGAGACAGGGTGCTTTTCTGGAAGAGATGCTTCAGTCGAATACAAGTTCATGGGCTCTGCGCAGGGCTCACTGGTAAAACATTATGGTTTGTGGTATCAGGTTAAATGATCTAATGGTCCCTTATGGCCTTCAGCTCTAGGAATCTATAAATTCCTATTTCCCCTTGGTGAAAGCAGACACTAGAATTTATCGGTGTCATCTCTGAAAAAACAGTAAGGACAGTTTTCCTTAGGAAATGACTCAAGCAGTAATACAATTGCCTTTGACCACAGCTGAGCTTGGTGCCACGCTTTGCACAAATCTTCCTGCTCCCATCTTGTGTCTGGTGTTAGACTCAGGCAGTTCATTAAGCAGCTCTTTTTGGACTGCATGGAGCTCTTTGGTATTTTGTATATCACAAGTGCTTCCCTTGGTAGTTATTCTTTTAGATGTTGAATTGGCTGAAGTCATTGACCTCATTGCTCAATCGTAGCAAGCAATGTGGCTTGGCAAGATTTGTCCTTAAATCCATGTTACCACCCAGAGACCACCCCATTTTCCTCAAGGTGTTTACTAGGCCTGTACGAAGCAGCAAGTATTTGCTTTGGATTCAGATTTGGCCCATTCGGGGAACAGTGATTCGATTTGGTGATTCAAATCACTGTCCCAGTTTGATTTGGCTGAATCTGATTCAGAGATTCGGCACCGATTTGAAGATTTGGCCATAGACTATAATGGGGAATCACTAAAATACCTATAACTTAGTCATTTTTTTTGCAGATTCGGATGAAAACAGCAGGGATGGTAGCCCCTTCTGAGGGCATGAGCCTGCTATGTTTCAAGGGGATAGGTGCAGGGGTTTCTGTGAAACTGCACCTCAAAATGTTTTCCCCCTCTCAGCCTTTTCCACATATGGAAGATCACCCCGTCCCCCTCCCTCTTCTCAGTTCCTGTTTGCTGCAAGTCTTCCAAATCTCCGTATCACTCCAAATCGATTCAGAGGCTTCCAATTCGATTCAGACTTTTTAATGGGTCTCCCGATTCGATTTGGATTCGAAGATTTGGCTGCCGAATAGGGCCGAATCTCTTCTGAATCAAATCAGCTACCGAAGCTTTGCACAGCCCTAGTGTTTACATATTGACTGTTATCATTTGCTCTAGTAACTTCCCACATATTCCCCAGGCCCTTCTTTTTTACCTTTTTAAAGGTGAGCACTAAGTTAGCTCATAGCCCCTTCCTTTGGGTCCTTACCTGTCACTCAGGACTTTGCTAGTGGCTCAGAGATTCTTCAGCAAGTTATTTCAGTACTTTGGGATTAATTTAATTGGGCTTAAATTCATTCACATTTGTCAAAAGTTCTTTTATAATCTGCATCCATTTCTCTTTTTTGTTTATATTAATTTTGTTAGCCGTCTGGTTGCAGTTTATTTTTACTGTGAAGACTGAGGCAAAGTAGTTACTGAGGAGCTCCGCCTTCCTTAAGTCTCCCATTAATAGTTCACCTTCACCAGCAAGCAGAAGATCCACAGTTTCCTTGGTCTTTCTTTCTCATCAGACATATTGGTAGAGCTCCTTGTTGTCTTCAGCATCCCTTGCTGGTTGTATCACATTTTTCACCTTTTTTGGATGTTGGTATTGTTATACTTCCTTCCATTACCTGTGTGTTTCTCCTTTGATTCTGCTAAGACACTCTTGTGCAGCCATCCTGCCCTCCTGTAACTTCTTACCTATAAACCTTTTCTTGTAGAGACTCCAATACTATGGTCCAAAGGAACTGCCAGCCCTCCTAGACTCCTTCAGTCTCCCTATTAGTGGGACCTCACCTGCTGTTTCTCTGAGCTGATTGAATCTGCTATATTCTGAAGTCCAATGCCCTTGTTTTTCTGTTTCACAAATTCTATCATATCATGATTGCTTCCACCCTCATTTCTGATTACATTCATGTTTGCACCCAGTTCTTCCTTCTTGGTTGGAAAGAGATGCAGGATACAGGATCCTCTAATTGTGTCCTAGGCCTTCTGAGATAGAACGTTGTCTTCTACACAACAACAGTATTCTTTCCTTTGCTCTGCGGAGAACCTGGGAGACAGCAGGTCATCCCATCTCTGTCCCAGCAGTAGTTGGTACCTGTAAAGTGCCCTGGGCAGCTGATGTTCTGTGAGGCATTGCAAAGCAATCCAAGAAGCTGTGCTGCAGCTCTTTTGCTTCTCATTGGAAGATGAGGGTCTCAGAGCACAAGAAGCAGTATGAAAAGGTCCTTCCACTTAGCTTCCTACCCCTGTAGTCCAGCACTGGCACTGCATGGCCCAGCCATATCAACGCATGCAAAACAAGGATGTAGTTAGAAAAATATCAAAGTACAGAATAAAAAGAGCTGGATTTCTTGAGGACATTATGCCATATCTGGGTACCAGCTGTGTCTAGGAAGCGGCCTTGGGTTCTGGATGTACATGTATTAAAGCAGCAAATTTAGAAAGTGAGCTCATTTTTTCTTCATGCTGGTGTCAGATCTGGGATTTCCAAAAAGCAGCATGGCATTACAATGGGACAGGAGTTTTTGGTGGGAGTGCTCAACTGAACTGACCAGCACTATTAGACCCTCCGTACTGGCTGTCAGGCCAGAGTTTGGAGTGGCATGAGCCAGATGTGTCAGGACATGTCACATGTGGTTCCCAAGGTTAAAGGACAGATGTGCTAGTACCAGAGCTAGGCGCTTGTCCAAATGGTGCTTTCAGGGCTTGGGCAAGAACAGCCTGATGCTGTGCACCCTGCCCAGGCCCTGAAAGCCAGCATTGCTCAAAGCTCTCACTGGCTCCATCACCACCTGCTTCCTTGAGGGCTCTTGCCTGCAACAGGAAGGTGATGGAAGGGCAGGAGCTGGGCACACAGGGAATATGTAGAATGCACAGTGCTGCTGCCCTCTTCCCTGTGGAAGAAGGCACACTCATCTGTCAGCACTACATTCACCCATATTGAGAAACCCAGGGCTCAGATTGGAAAGGCCCTGTTCTGGCCAGGACATTTCCCTGCTAAGTCTATCAGCAGGTGTCACCCAGTAGCGACTGGACAGTGTACATTTGACGTATAGCGGGGTCACTAGCTGTGACCCTGCCCTGGAATGGTGGTTTTGCTGTCGTGGGTGAAGTGATTCCTATACGTGGTCTCAACAGGGAGGTGCCACCCCTGCCTAGCCAGATCTTGATTCTTGCCAGGAGCTCCTTCTTCACCTGGTGCCATTCTCCTAGGAGTACTCCCCAGCCTGCCCCAACCTAACCAGGCTCCCCCAGGACCTCCAATCTCAACACACAGTGCCTGTGAAAGGAGAAGGCCGCTCCTCTGGGAGTTCTGATAGAGAGAAGAGCTCCTCTGGTTGCTCCTGGTTCCTCTGGGGACAATGCATCATGACATCTTACTTTCATGCCTTGCCTAAATGACTACAATCTATATGGCCAATTAGGGCTTGGAAGCAGGACACCTGAGTTCTGCTGCTCCCCCTGTTGCTGATTGCATTGCCATTGCTGGCAACATGGTGTTGGCACACAGACCCCTCAGCTGTGATTGAAACCTCACTGTGCTGGGCTTTGTATAGGCACTCAGTGAGGACAGGTCCCTATGCTGAAACTTACGTTCAAAGTAGAATGAGAGAAAAAGGAGGATATTACCCCCCAGGTCACATGGTGTGTCAGTGGCAGAGCTGAGTGGTAGAACACAGGTTTCCTGAGTGCTTTCCCTACTAGATCCCATCGCCACTGCTGATTTCCCTGGCAGAGTGCAAAGTCTCTCCTCTCTGTGCCCTCTAGCTGGGTTCTGCTGCTGAATTTAACATCTGTGCTGCTACCGCTCCTTTTGTTTCAGAGTCTCCGAGCACTTTGCAAACCAGTGGCATTAACTATGGAAGCCACCCTGCATGGTTATCTCATCCCTGGCTAGGGAGAAGGATCCTCAGTAAAGACATGGAGAATAGAAGGACCTGGGCCAGGGAGGGCAACTCCAGCTTAATTTCTCCCATTGTGGCACAGTCTCACAAATGCCCCTACCTGTTGTCTGTTTTCCCTCCCAGGTCCCTTGCTTTAGGCCAGCAGTACACCTCCCTGGGATCCCAGCCGATCCTGTGCGGCTCCATCCCAGGTCTGGTCCCCAAGCAGCTCCGCTTCTGCCGGAACTACATCGAGATCATGCCCAGCGTGGCTGAGGGGGTGAAGCTGGGCATCCAGGAATGTCAGCACCAATTCCGGGGCCGGCGCTGGAACTGCACCACCATTGATGACAGCTTGGCCATCTTTGGGCCAGTTCTGGATAAAGGTAAAGGAGTCAGGGCCTGGCTCAACCAGCAGGAAGTTGTTGGGGTTGTGGGGAGAGGGGTGATATTTGTCTCTTAGGAAGGTCTAGAGGATCCAACCAAGGTCCACTCCAGGCACCGGGCCTTCACCCAAAGAGTGTGATGGTGTGGCAAGGTAAAACCAAGGGAAAAGCAGGCACACAGAAGTTCCCTGCTGCCCAATGGAATCAGCCACCCTGTGTTAGGTCCCCAGCCCCCCTAGACAATGCCTGGGGAAAGGAGATCCACAAAAGCCAGAGCTATGTCAGCGGTCTTGTGACAAATGCTGAATAAAGCAACAAGGCCTAAGCTCTGCCCTTCAAGGTATTTGGACTTAAGGTAGAGGAACATGCCAGTTCCTATTTCAGATGCTTACAAAAACAGTGTCCAGAAGATAAGTCCACCCATTGTTGCTGCTGTTACTCTCTGGGGGAGTTTTCCTTGGTAAAAGAGAGCTACTGAGATCAGAACACCCCATCTCCAAGGGTGGGAGCCAGAGGCCCTGTGGAGGGCTGTCTCCTGCCATGCCAAGGGGTCAGAGTGCACATGGGAAAGCTCACTCTCCAAGGAGACATGCTGCAGCATCCTTCAGACTGGACCTTGTGTCCAAAGAGGAGAGGCTTAGCTTGGGCAGACATCACCAGGCTGAGTCCTTGGGAAGTATGAAGCATCTCTGTGAAACCTACTTTGGTGGGGAGGGAAGAGAGATGGAGAAGGCCTGTGCCACCCTGCCCCCAAACCTCACTTCTTTCTCTGGGGCTTAGGAACATTCAACCCATCAAGTGACAGCCAGGGGAGACTGAAGCCTGGCAGGAACCAGCAGCAGTGGCTTCAGCCTTGTTTCATCCTGAGGTGCCACTCCCTGCACACCATGTTTCCCAGGGACTTCGTAGTTTCATAGTAGTTTCATAGTTAGTAGGGTCGGAAGGGACCTGAGCAGATCATCAAGTCCGATCCCCTGCCATGGCAGGAAAGAGTACTGGCGTCAAATGACCCCAGCAAGGTGTTCATCTGGCCTCCTCTTAAAGACCCCCAGGGTAGGAGCCAGCACCATTTCTCTTAGAAGTTGGTTCCAGATCCTAGCCGCCCTGACTGTGAAGTAGCGCCTCTTGATGTCTAATCTGAATCTCCCCTCTGCCAGCTTGTGACTGTTATTTCTAGTCACTCCTGATAGTGCTTGGGGGAACAGTGACTCCCCCAATGCCTGCTGGTCCCCCCTGACTAGTTTATAACAGGCCACTAGATCCCCCCTCAGCCTTCTCTTGTGGAGGCTGAACAGGTTCAGGTCCCATAGCCTCTCCTCGTAGGGCCTGCCCTGCTGCCCCCTGATCATGTGAGTGGCCTCCTCTGGACCCTCTCCATGCTGTCCACATCCCTCCTGAAGTGTGGCGCCCAGAACTGGACGCAGTACTCCAGCTGCGGCCTGACCAGTGCCACATAGAAGGGGACTGTCACCTCCTTGGACTTGCTTGAGATGCATCTGTGGATACATGAGAAGGTGCGGTTGGCCTTCCTGACTGC